CACATATTATGACCCAGCTCTATTGGATTAGGCCTGTAGTATCAATTTATTATATTATTAACTGTACTTTTTTATTAATACTTTTAAGCGATTTATTGTTTTTTTATTTTTATTGAAACAGCTTTAATAAGTTATTACATTTTGAACTAATTCAGTTCATGTTATCTATAGTTACCTCAAATAGGACTTGTCAGAAGACATCATGGTTACAATAGCAACCTTTTTTAAACTCAATATTTTCATACTATTTTTAAAAGCATAAATTTAGAATTAAACATCAATTTATAGGCCTGATAGTATATTTAAGAGGGGAGCTGGTGCCATCATTCCTAAATATGGAGTGTGTACAAAACAGACTTTTGAAACATAGCAGAACTACACAAATTTTGGTAATAAACAAGCTGAAATTATAAATCACTTCAAAATAGTGTTTTCTTTTCCCCAGAATAATGTCTTCAGACCAGCAGCGTCAAGAAATTGAAAATCTGAAAACGCCCTCATCTTTCTTACCTTCATGACAGCAGGCCCCTTGATGGGGAGGGGAACAAGAAGGGAGGATTGCAAAGGGTTAAGTTTGGGTTGGGGGTGGGTGGGGGATGCTGTACAATAACAAAAAACTTGGGAACAGACTGTGCATGTGTTGGTGGATGAAGCTGTACTTGAGTGTTATATTAAGGTGTATGTCATAATTTATTTTTATTTTGATTGCCCCATCTGAGGCAGTACTGAAAAGGTGAGCATTTTAGATGTATGTAACCTGTTCTTGTGATAATGAATTGATCATGGATTCAAATACCTTTGATAATCCTCTCTTATTCTTTGGACTTTTCTCAGATATTGTTTACTTTCAAGTTAATTAAAACTAGATTATACTTTCTATAAAATAAACACACAACCCCCCCCCCCCTCTCCTTTTTTTTTCCCAAACTTGTTCAGAGGAGATGAACATATTAACAAATAACATTACCATATTTGGGCATTTTCTATTCTTTTTATATTAGAACGTTCTCCTGAAAGTTTTCAGCAATAACTGAGTGAAAGACCAAAGATAAATTTAGGAATTTGTTAGCAGTCTCCACCAGTAGTTAAAAGGTGTGATCATGAATTAGATTGATGAAATAGACTGGATGGAATCTGTATGTTCTTTAAACAGACACAAATAATGTTTATAACTTGTTACAATTATTGAAATTTTTATGTTTCTCTGAATTATTTTTAAAATTTAATTTTATTTAAATAAAATGTGATTCCGAGAAAGCCAATTTTTTGTGCTGGAAGAATATTGGTAAGGAGCATTATTTTTTTGGTTTATGTCATTTTTTTTATGTTCGGCATTGCTTATTAAATTGATAAGTTTTTTACAAAATTTGCATAATCTTAAAATTGTAGGTTAGAGACATAGAGAATTTAAAAAGTCATCTGTATTTCCAATATATATATATTGGTATTGTATTACTATGGCTGATACAATTAGAAACAGTATCAAAGAATTTATAGAAACAGTATCAAAGAACTTATATATAGAGAGAGATATAAATATATAGATACAGATATATATATAGATTAGCTAAAAGCTGTGGGAATGAATGAACACTTATATTAATTCAAATAGAATTTACAATGGGTAATTTGGTGGAAAAAAATGCACCCACATTTTTTACATGTAATCCAGCTCATAGCCATAATGTCAGCTAACCTATTATTTTGTACTGGTATAATTTATGAAATTTTATCCAAATTCAGTGAATATATACTATATCTCTTTGTAACACTGTCCAACTTGAGGAAATTCTTTGTAATGTATTTATTAATAGAGTTTTTTTTTTAAACATCCAATGTCAATTAACAGATAAGGAGTATTAAATAGCAACCTTGTTACATTATGCTTTACATGTTTAGTATGAAAGTTTAGTGATAGGGGTAATCTGGAAATATGGTGCATACTACTTACTTGAGTCAATGAATTAAAAATAGCAATTTTATTTCAGTCTGCCAACGTATGATCTTAAGTGAATTGATGTTGTAGGAAATAGGTGTTGGAAATTAAATCTATACTTTCTTTTTTTTTACAATTGCTAACTTACATAATTTGGAACAAATTATTTCTTAAGGAAACTTGACTTATCAGCCTTTCACATGTCATTGCCCTTGCTAGCATTTAGAGTTTATGATTTTCAAGGTGTTTTTTTTTTTAAAGTTGTTTTGTTGCGTCTTTGGAGCAAGCACATTTTGCTTTGGAAAGAAAGACTATTTAAAAATGTTACACAGTAACTCATATTGATAGAAACTTGTAACATTGTAAAGAAGAGCCAAAGTTTAATTTGCTTAGGCTGTTACATTGTGCATGCCCCTAACATCTACAGGCATGCTCTATTTGCTTTTACTAAAGTCTTGTGAATGTACATTTTTTTTATTACTGAAGTTTGTTAAAATGGACACAAAGTTTTCTCTTTTTATCCACAAGTCATAAACATGTTGCTGATATCTAAAAATATCCAGTAACAGTAGGCAAGGGGATTGTATTTAATTTATCAGCTTTCTTCCTACTGATGCGCATAATTACATTAGAAAGAGTGGTTTGGAGTGTTTAGGGGAGAGGGGTCTATGTTTGATCATAAAAAGAGAAAAGCATGTTGGCATAAATGCCAAGAGTTTAAAGTTATGGCAAAAGTTATGGCACAACAAAAGAAAATGTAAGTTTTGTTTAAAACACCATCAATTAAAATAAAGATAATATTTTAAAAGGTACATAGTACAATTCCTAAAGTGCAATACATTTTCCTTTCATCTTTCCCTTGCAGTCCAGATATAAAATACAAAACTGATACATTAATATATGTTATGTATCATAATGTAAATCACGTTGTCCTGACATTGAACATAACATCCAATTACTCAGTCCTCCTTTTTTTTTCTTTTGAAACTATAGGGAAGAAATGTAGCTGAACTGTTTGTTGACTTGTTGGAATTTTTAATACCTCATTTTATCATTATAATTTATTTATAGTGTAATCATCCTGGCTTTTTTTTTTTTGGTCCTTTCTTTCACAGTAATACGAGCTGTTTTTTTTGTTGGTACTTTCTTTCACAGTAATACGAGCAGGCACTAGCTTAACCACTAGGTCTTATTATTGCTTTTTATCATACATAATTTTTTTATCATACATTAAATCTCAATTTTTCTTTGATTACAAAAAGTAAGGTGGTTGAGTTTGCAGTTGATGGCTACTATGCTTGCTTAATATTCAAGCTTAAATCGTGAACAGCTCTAAAATTTAGAGGATTAGCTATGGTCTGAAAAGGATTTTTTTTTAAAGTGTGTTCTTTTGAAGTTTCGGTACATAAAGTTAAGGCTTGTAATTGTAATATTTTGTTTACATTTTTTTTTTCCTGCCAAAAGTTCAGGCATTATTAAGTTATTTACCAGTATTACTGGTAGTTCTCCATTTCAGTGTAAATCATAAGTTTCAAAATGTTTAATACATTTAAAAAAAAATTATTTTCAGCAATGTAGCATGATTAAATATCCATGAATTCTGTAATTCTGTGTTTGCTTGCAACACAGTGATTTATTTTGTTAGATAATGCATTGATTAAACATTAAAATCTCATAAAATAATTGAAATTAATTAAATTACCATTTAAAAAACATAGTCTTCAAAGCTACTTCAAAACATGATTTTTGAACTTATGTAACATCATTTGAATCAAGAGCATTTTTTGTCAAGAACCCCAAAAATACGTCAACTAGAGAAAAAAAAATTAAAAATTTTTATCTGGCATAGACCTTTTTGGAAACCACTGCAAAGGTCACATATTTACAATATTATGTTAACCAAAACCATTGTTCCAAACCATTATATTACCAACACATGCCATCTTATGTGGAATTTTTTTTTTTTTAAAGTAGTCCTGTGAAGCCATTTTTGTGTGTGAATCTGCACCGAATAAGCTTGCGTAACCATAATGGGCCTGTTGCGCAATCTAACTCTCCATGACATCCTTACTGTCATTTCTTATCTAAAATATGTGCTGGTGCCATGAAAGATCAATATTAGAATGTCATTAAATGATGGTGCTTGTAACTTAGTCCTAGCATAGTAAAAAAAAAATCTTATTTATTTCACTAAAAAATGGTTAATGAAGTTATATTTGTTCCAATTTTTTTTTTTTTTTTTTTTTTTTTTTTTTTTTGTTGGCAAGATATTTGAAAATTGTTAATTGAATGTGTTACTGTTTGTTTACTATGTTGAAATTATTACTTGGACTCAGTGCATGCATGTAATGTTTCTGTATATTTTTTTTATATCAGGCTCTGTAAATATCACAACTTGTCACTTGTTAGTTGAGCTTTGTTTCAACATTATTTTTCAGATTCTTTTTTTCTTCTTCAAAATCTCTATTTTGTTTTGTAAAAAAAAAACACATAAACTTGATATACATGTGTATATTATTTTCCTAAGTATAAATCCAATTTATGTCTAATACAAAAAAATCTGGTTATGTCTGTTTCATCTGGGCTATGAGATTTTTTTTTTTTTTTTTTTTTTTTTTTTTTATTTTGTTTTTTATTTTTTTTTTTTTTTTTTTTTTTTTTTTGTAACAAAACTTTCACTCTTACTATTACGATCTTGTACACTTCAATCACTGCTATCATCACCTTGTATTTGATATTGGTATTAATATTATTAAAATTATTCATTTTTTGCCAACATGGTTTTTAGTGAATTTGCTTGACATTGTGGTCTCAAGCAGAAATAACACATTGTGAATAAAATTACTTTGAACTTTTACTCATCCATTTTTATGTTCACCTACTATCTTGTTCTATGTTTGGGGCCCGTGTGTGCTATAATTTTATGTTTGGCAGCTTTGTTTTCTTCTAATAATTTGAGTCTTTGGGGCCTTATGCATTATGTTGGGATCACTTTGTGTTACCTGGACTGAAAGTGACTACCTTAAAGTATTGACAACCATATGTAGCCTTATGTGGCTAGATGATGGAAGCAGACTTCAGGTAAAGTCATGAGATGACTCTTTTATTATCAGAACCTTGAATTTGAAGTACTCTACAAGCATGACATTGAAGAACTCGGATGCACATACAACAAAAAAATTAAAAAATTAAGTCAAAATACTGAAATAAATACATTAAAACGGTTTTCTTTTTAAAGGTACAGATGAAGACTTAGAGTCATTCTCATTCAGGCTCTCTTAAATTAAAATTACCAAATTGATCTATTCACTTTTTATCTTATATTGTGTTAATAAATTAGAGGAATGGTTTACTTGGTTTAAAGTATTAAAGCCGATACTTGTACACCAATAAATGTATAGAAAATCAGAAAAATGGAAAAAGCCACCCTGGTTTTTTGTGAATGCATTATATTTCAGATAATTAAAAAATGGCACCTGGCCAAAATTTAAGAAAAGTGCCGCCCACTCCCTGGTTTTTGTGAATGCATTATATTTCAGATAATAAAAAAATGGCACCTGGCCAAATTTAAGAAAAGTGCCGCCCACTCCACCCCCCTTCCTACATCATTGTTCCTGAGACTTATGTGTCCTCTTTTAAGCTTCAAACTGACTGATTTGAAGTGGAATACATGTCACAAGTTAAGAAAAGTGCCCCCCACCCCTCCCCCCTTCCTACATCATTATCCCTGAGACATATGACCTCTTATAAGCTTCATACTGACTGATTTGAAGTGGAGTGTACGCCACAAGTTAGGAAACACTGACGACTTCATTTAATTATCTTGTACAAAAAAGGTTTAAAATGTTGTTTTTTCGGGGTGGGGGGATGTGTAGGTTAGAAAGTGCTCATTGCGCGTACGAATTGGGGTTGCTCAAAAATTACGGGTGAAACAGGGGGAATGGGGTCTTAACGTACGTTGTATATGGATGGACCATAGTATATGATGCTATATACTACATGATATATGCCAGAGGTTTTCAACAGGCGTATCATAATATTTTGAAATAAAAAAGATATGCCTATAACAGTTTTAAGAGGCATTTCACCTACAAACTGTGAGGGTAATAATATAATCAGTTTTCTGTAATAATACTGTACTATTAGTCAATAATGAAAATGGTTGGTCTCTGCTCCGCACAGAAACAGCCGAATTAAATAGTGTGAAATATTTGAATGTTGTGCCTTAGAACTTTAGGATTGAGTTTTACCGCGTCCTAAGCTTACGATATTTATTTTATACAGGATAGAAACACATTATTCAGGCTAAAATATGTAATTAAAACATTAATATTGCTGAAAAAAGGTAACATTGCTCCACAAGCTTTCGTGAAACAAACAAAAAAATTAGTAATCTTGTTGCGACCAACTAGGGATTTGCTGATCAACGAGAGCCAACTCACATCTGCTTCCTGTTAGGCCTAATTCATCACTGCATGTGACAACATGATATAGTTTCTCAGTGGCTTCGAGAAAAATAGCACCCGTACCGTCCTCCCGAACGCAGCATTCTCCATTGTTTCCATTTCCGTTTCCTCTTCTTACCACGCCCCCGTTCCAGCCTTCGGACTCAAAATCTTGATCATCGATTTTTAAAGACATTGCCGCGACTTCTCCTGCCGCTGCCAAAACAGCTCTGCCCACAGCAGCTGCTGTTGGGTCAAGAACAGTGTTCTCTCCAAGGTCGATTGCAGCACCCCCGGCAGATTGAAGGGCTGAAACCACACCCATTCCAAAACTGTGCGCCGCGGTTGGGCTAGGTTGGGAAAAAGACCTTTTGGACAATAGAAGAAAAAAAAAATCTATTAAAGATATGGAACGAATCCTGCCAAGTTTCTGTAGACACGTCTTGCTAACGAGGGTTTTGCTTTTATCCCCACCCACGGGCTCATATGACCACTTATAGCTCCAAAAACGAGTTATTTGTTGGATACATGAACAAGAAGAAGTGTCAGCGTCTTTAGGATAATACCCTAATTCAAATTTGAATTTGAAATTTGAAAGTCTTAACAGTAATAGAAAACAATTAATACTTTATAGTTTAAAACATCGTATATGACTATCGGAAACAGATTCTTAGAAATTATTGGCTGTAGATCTACATATCAGTAGCGGTGGGGCAAGAATTGTGCGACTCCCTTTCCACACAAAAAAAAACCCAAAAAAAAAACAACCCTGCAGTTGGTGGAAATTCCTCCCCCCCACATAATGAAAAAAATAACCCGCGTCTCCCCCCCCCCCCCCCCTATTCTTAGAAATTATTGGCTGTAGATCTACATATCAGTAGCGGTGGGGCAAGAATTGTGCGACTCCCTTTCCACACAAAAAAAAAACCCAAAAAAAAAACAACCCTGCAGTTGGTGGAAATTCCTCCCCTCCATATAATGAAAAAAATAACCCGCGTTTCCCCGCCCCCCCCCCCCAAGCGGACTGCCCCCTCCGCAGCCCTTTTCCTGCACCGCCGCTGTTACAGATAAATATGGCTATGGCCTAACTATATGTCGCTATGATAGCTGATGTAATAAAAGCCCCCAGGGTCTTATTCCCGTCATATTAAAAAGTATCAGTCACTTTTCAAAGCCCATCTGTGAACTATCGTTTGATTTGTTCCTTCTGTACGTGTCTGTGTGTGTGTGCGTATGTGGGGGGTATGATGGCGAAATAATGTGAGGGTGTATGTGTGTGTTATTTTTTTATTTGGGGGGGGGCGAAGTAGTGTGTGTGGTGGGGGTGGGTAGCGAATTGAGTCCGATTAAAGCTTCGGCCTTAGAACACTACTGCAGTGGTTAAAACTGGCTGTAAATATATAGCTTTTCATTTTTCATTAACATACACAAGTTAGAAAGAAAGACTTACCGGGATGTTGCCGCTTTAGAGATAATTCTTTCCCCCATGCTACAGTGTCCGATTCCCGCAGCCCCCAAACCTGAAGCGTGAATGGCTACAGGCGCCACCGCACCCACAACTCTAGCAGCAGCGCATCCGATTTTGAAAGCCTTATCCAAATTTGTTGTTATGTTATCCGATCCAGTCGCGCCATTATTAGCTGTTGTTTCAGATTGACCTGTTCCCGTGGCCCCGGGATGTAACGACGAACGTGAATCATGGTCCGAGGGCGGTGTGAGGTTTATGTGCATTGTCGCGACTTCTCCTGCTGTTGCCAACACAGCTCTGCCCAGAGCAGCTGCTGTGGGGTCAAGAACAGTGTTCGCTCCAAGGTCGATTGCAGCACCCCCAGCAGATTGAAGGGCTGAAACCACACCCATTCCGAAACTGTGCGCCGCGGTTGGGCTATGTTGGGGAAATGACCTTTTGGAGAATAGAAGAAGAAGAAAAAATCTATTAAAGATATAGAACGAATCCTGCCAAGTTTCTGTAGACAAGTCTTGCTAACTAGTGTTTTGCTTTTATACCCACCCACGGGCTCATATGACCACTTATAGCTCAAAAACGAGTTATTTGTTGGAAACATGAACAAGAAGAAGTGTCAGCGTCTTTAGGATGATGGCCTAAGTTAAATCTGAAAGTTCTAACGGTAATAGAGGACAATCGATACGTTATATTTTATAACATAGTATACATCGGAAAGAGATTTATATTAATTATTATTAATTAATTGGCTGTAGATCTACAGATCAGTAACGTACTTAGGGTTAGGGCTACCCGACGTGGAGCAATAATTTTGCCACCCTCTTTCCACGAAAAACCCTGCAGTTGATTCAAAATGCCGCCCCTCCATATAACGAAAAACGCGCCGCCCATAACGGACCGCCCCCTCCGCACCCCTTTTCTGCACCGATGACACAGATTGTGGATATGGATACGCCTAAATATGTGTCCCTACGATAGATGTGATAAGGGTCACAAGGCTCTAATTCCCGTCCATTTAAAAAATATCAGTCACTTTTCAAGCCCATCTGTGAACTATCGTTTGTTTGGATGTGTGTCTGTGGTTGAGGGTGTTTTTGAAGTGTGTACGAGTAAAACCTCAGCCTTTGAACATCCCTGTATTGGTTGTAGGACTGGCTTCTAAATATACCTTTTCATCTCCATTAACGTCCACAAGTTTAGAAAGAAAGACTTACCCGGATGTTGCCGCTTGAGAGATAACTCTTTCCGCCATGCTGCCGTGTCCAAGTCCCGTAGCCCCCAAACCTGAAGCGCGAATGACTCCAGGTACCACCGCACCCAGGGCTCTTTTAGCAAAGCGACCGATTTTGAAAGCCTTATCCAAAATTATTTTTTTCTTATTCGATCCAGTTGCGCCGGGAGTAGTCTTAATTTCTGAGTTACCTATTCCCGGTGCTCCAGGATCTATCGACGAACGTGGGTCAGTAGTTGAAACACGATCTGAGGGCGGTCTGAGGTTTGTGTCCTTTCCATTATATCCCGGTGATCTTGACATATTTTTTTTTTAAGTTTAAGGCTGCGAAAATCTAGGAACTGGAAGTCGTTCAATATTTTCCGGATGTAGTTGGAGTTTACTTTGGTCTTTTTTTTTATTATTGTTATAGCCTGTTGCAGGTCTATCGTTGTTTACCCATTTTGTGCACTGTAAATGACAAAATAATAAGAGCATGTCTATTACAAAGAAATCTGTTAAAATTCACTTAAAGACATTGAAGTATTGACAAAACAATTGCATGATTCCTTCGGAACATTAATGTTTACTGAGTATCAGACTGTCAGACACTCAGCCAGTTGCGTCACTAGGGTTGGTGTCACCAACTGCGATAAACTCGTGATGTCACCCCTTCCAGACTTCCCCATTGAGCTTCTCCGAGTCTGCCTGCTCCGGCGATACCCTGCTTTGAAGGCAGCCTGGTCTGATGCAACCTGCTCTGATGACACTCTTCCCTTGCATCTTAGATCTCCTATGAAATTTACTCGAGCGAGCTCTATCCAATTTTTTCATTTGGAGTCATCCCCCTGTGATGGTGTAACATTGTGCCATCCGTACTGCATGCCACGACGTGCTACCTCACACAGCTGTCCAGAAACACATATGAAGGCATTACATGTTTTAGTCATGACGACAGAACAGGGATGGCGTGAAAATAACGTCGATGTGTTGTATAGAGTTCTCACACTATAAACTCGGGCGGGCGGCACTAAATCATGGCAGTAGGTAATCATAAAATGAAAAGAGACATACAATTGATCAACTAGGACAGTGGTCGGAAAATCGCGGCTCTTTAGCGACCTGAGTGCGGCTCGGCCAGTCGGCCACAAATCGGGTTTGACTCCGAAAAACATGGTTCTTGACAGGTTCTTGAAAAGAAATTTGACTTTCAATTTTTAAAAAAAAAATTGTTCTGCTGCTGATTTTCGGCTCTTTTGACTAATGAGTTTGCTGACCACTGAACTAGGACGATGCATTTCAGAGGTTGAGTGAAGCATGAGTGAGTCACTGAGGTCACCGATAAATCAATGTACTTAAAATGCCAAACTATAATATACAACTTAAAACATCGAAACTCCCATGAAAAAAAACAAACATTTTTACCATGAAAAATTGATATTTTAAAATGTTATCATTATTTTATCTTTTTACTGGACGTCATCCTTTATTATTTTTTTGAACGTGGTATGTTTGTATCCAATATATAGGCCCTACCATTTGACAAACGAACATTCAAAAGTAATTATAAAGAAACATAAACATGTGTTGTGTTTTTTTTATTAATTAGAATTAGAACAATGTTTAAAAAATAAATATAATTTAAATATACATTTTAATATTAATTTAAATGTATGCTCAGATCACCGAAATAATTGTTCTGAATCATGGAACTGGAGGCATGTTATAACCAGGTTGAGCTCCTATCTTCATACAGGCATGTCTCGAAAACTCTCTGATAAGAAAAATTATTCTGAATTTATCAATTTTCACACTTAGGGCTTTTATTTGTTGCCTAATTATATTTATCATTAATGCTTATTTTAAATTAAGTCTAGTGGCTGTAAAAATATATCTAAATTTTATTTGTATAGTTGAAAAGTCCTAGGCCTATTTGTTACAATTTAAAATACATACCTTATTATTAAAGTAAATTTGGTTCTCTCTAAAAGAAAGGAACAAAAAATACAACGAAAATACACCTCCATTAAAGTACTTACCCTTTGTTTAGAATGACACTGTCCTTATTTCAAGTTAGGCTGCACTGAATTATCGATGGTGAAGTTATTTGATAGTGATTGATGCTATGTTGATGTGTCACAGATAGGACATTGTCTACGGACTTTGTACACTTATTAATCTTTCCCGCCTATCAGTACATATCTGAACACCATCAATTAATTTTTAGACAAATAATGCGAGATTACAACGGAATAGTTTTTTTTCCCCTCAAAACCATTTTACTTTATGTTTTCTTTAAATTTGTTATTTAAGCTTCTTTCAGATGACAGCACCTTCTTTTATCAATAAACTCAATGAACACTAATTGAATTTGCTAGCAGGAACAGACCCGTTCTCAGGCATACGCTTACTACGCATCCGCGTAGGGCCCCGAACGTGAGGGGGCCTCCGTGAGGCGCCCTCGATCCCCCGTTTTTTTTTTTTTAACTGGCACTGCAGCTGTCTGTGTCACTCACGTTACCTTCCTCATCCCGAAATTTATCATTCTGAGTTGAATTTGGAGGCAGGGGAAGGGAAGCAGCAGGGGGGAGCTTTGGGGGTGGCAGACATGTAATCGGGGGCTTGGCCGTGGGAATGAGAAGTATAAATAGCAATTGGTTAGTCTGGCTAAACCATTACACATCGTGGATCGGTGGCGGCAGGACGGTGCATTTTGAGGCTGTCACATTATTCTTTGGATTATTAGTTCAAGGAAAAACTAGTTTATCACATATAGAGCAATGATGCACACACAAACAAATTATTGATAGCCGGGGCGATCTCCTTCCTCAGACTAAGGAAATAAGTGCTACCAGAGCCATTATTAGGCATATAGGCAAACTAGGCAACCGCCTAGGGCCCCACTACCACCTGCATGTCCATATATTTCAGAAGTACAGTGGCGGAATTTTCAATATGGTTAGTGGTTACACGCGAGCAAAGAGGAAACATTGATGAAGGCAGAATGGAGGTGCCACAGTGGTGGGTGGTGTTTTCTCCTCAGTTCAAGGGAGCTCCACCTCCGGACACCCCCCTTCCAGGGCCCCCAACCTACGCTCCATGTTTAGGGCCCTCAAACTCCTAAGAACGGCTCTGGCAGGAACCAATCACTGGTGAATAGGGGGCATCGCTCAAGGACAAGCTATATTTAACCAAGGAAGTCTGGCGTAAACAAGAAACTAGAAATGCATTTTTAGACTTAATACGACCAAAGACAAGTTTAATCGTAATAAAAATTAAGCATAGACTTCCTTTGCGTGATGAATTTTAAGAAATGTTAAATTATCTTCTACTTAATCGTGCGTTTAGACTCGCTTTGATAGAAAAAAAAACAAAAAAACTTTATATTGACTTCGCTTTTGTTCATTTGTTTCTTTCTGGCTGAGTGTGTGGCAAAATCTTTGGATGGCTAAATGACCCACTTCCCGTCGACCTATCGAGTTGAAAATTCACTTAAATATTTTCCACTTGATTGGTTTCTGTTAAAAATGAGTGTAAAAATTAAAGCTTCTCCACTGGAACATAATTTACAAATACATTTTTAACAACGTTTTATTTTGGAAACGGTTGTAATATTTATTGACGACTTTGAATCCCGCCTACCGACACTGTAGTCCCGCCTACCGACACTATAGTCCCGCCTACCGACCTTGTGGTCCTGTCTTATCAAACCAACTGTTCGGTTCAAATGCAGTGTAGCAAACTAAGACTTATTAAAAAACAAAAAACAAAAAAACAAAAAAAAACTTTTTAGATTATCTGCAGTTTATGGAATGATAAAGCTATGAATAAACATAATAGTTTCTACTTCAATGTGTAGTTGGGTGGACGATTATTCGAATACGACCACTGTAGTCTTTTGTCGAAAATGCATCTATATAAAATGCCATTTTGCAAAGCAGTTAATTTTTGGACCTCGTCTTTATTGGACACATTGTTTTCAATAGTTTTCCAGCCATCACTCCATTTGGGGGAGGGGGGGCAATGGATATTGAGAGAAAGTCACCTGCTCTCCCCCCCCCCCCCCCCCCCCCCCTCTAGACGAATGTGTAGAAAGATAAAACGAAAATGTATTTGATACTATTTAAAGCTAATAGTGTTAGAGCAGTGGTTCTCAACCTTTCTAATGCTTCGACCCTTTAATAAAGTTCCTTATGTTGTGGTGCCGCCCACTCCCCCCAAGTTCAACATTATTTTTCTTGCTGCTTCATAAAGATGTTAAATATGGTCGCTCGACTTCCAAAGGGGTCGCGACGCACAGATTAAGAACTGCTGTGTCAGAAGCTTACACTATTTCATTTACGAAGTGGCTATTCGGACCCGGGTCCCGTTAGCCAAAATAGCTATTCGGACCCGACTGATCACATGGGGTCCATTTTCCGTTGATCATGTGACGGTTACACCATTGGCAAAAATGTCCCATTGGCCTGCTTCTAAGATATGGCTGATACACAAGATCTGGTGAGGGCTTGTGGTAGAGTAGCGATATTATTATATTTTGAGGATCAATTCCTAGTATGCGAACGATTTTTTCCCCATTTTGATTAAAAATATGTTATATTATATTTATATTATCATGTTAGCAAAAGTAGTTTATGAGAAGTTTTAAAATATTTTGTAGCAATTTAAACAATTTAAAATGAAATCTTGTACTTTTATTGGTTGCCTACTCCATACTGGCCCCTAATTTATTTTATGGAATACTGGTACACAAACTCAAATAACAAACTAAACAAACTTGTTTACAAGCCACTTTCACTTACGTTTTTTTTATTATTAAATTTTTAATCATGTGCCTGTGTTTTAAACCCAGTAGCCAGGTATGGTTGAAAAAAAGGACTAGCTCTTCAAAATAATAAGTCTATTTTTCATGCTTTATGCCATTGCATCCTCCAAGATTTCATTCCAACTTTCTTGTGAATTAAGTGAAGTATGAGAAAGATTATTGAGAGGAGATGTGAGTTAAGAATGAGTTATCAGGAAAACCAGTCGGTGTTCAGGTGTATTGCTCCCAGTGCCAGCGAAAAGGTGTGGTTTTGTTCTGATTTAGCCAAGCTCTCTTTAGAGGAATAGTTGAATTTAATTTATTTTGAATGAAATTTTCATTTAGAATACCTAATTGTTCCATAAAGTATGTGTAATTAAATCTTTGACTCTTAACTTAAATAATACAGATAAATCTAAATTAATGAAGGATTAAATCTTAATAATTATATTAATATTATTAGTCTACTTTTCTAAAATTCTAATGAAATTAAATGTATCTCTTTTTATCTTGATTACTTGATATAAATAAAAACCTTTATCTACGAACATGGCTAAAAATTAAAGAAAATTAGAAGAAAAAAACTACTAAGAACTAACAAAGCAAAAAGAAAAAAAAAACTAAAAAGAATAAAACTATGAATCTATGAAATAACAATGAAAACAAAAATAATAATAATAATAATAAAAAAGTTATCATACTACTACTGCACCCGGGTCCGAAACAATTTAATATATATGGAACCACTCTGGATCCGAATAGTCATTTAATAACACATAGTAGTCATCCGGTGGTCACGTGACATGCCCGCCGGAATAATATCTCCCGCACTATTTGTCCGGTCGCCGGACGTATAGACACTGCTATAATTATAATGACCAATGGTCGGAAACGTTTCAGATTGCACCCATAATCCAACACGTTTAGCACGAGATTATTAATTTTGCTACAATCATGGCTGATATAAAGAACTGAAGGGTAATAATCATGGTATACCATAAATCATTTTATCTGGATATTTAAAAATGAAAATAAGATTGAATTTACTTTAGAAATGTTGATATTGTGAATATTGTCATGAAGCTACGCCACGATTTTCAAAAAATTTAAATTAAAACGGGAAATCTACCACTTCAGCGTCGGTTATTAAAAAAAAAACTGGTTCTAGTTTGAAGTGACGTGCTATTATTAAACGGATATTCTTCTGTTACTGCTGTCTGTTAATAGTACTGTGGAGAGAGTGCGACTGAGTTACCCAATACTCTAAAAGAGAGAGTGGGCTGGGCTCTATTTTCTAGTTGAGGGGCGGTCCATAAAGTATGTCACACTATTTTTGACCATTTTTACCCCCCCGTCACAAATCACGGACCCCCCCCCTCTTTAAAGTAAGTACGTCACACTTTCGAAAAAATAAAAATTAGGCCGGCACTACGTACACCGTGGCGGTGTGCCTAGCGAAACTATTGACTTTGGCCTGCGTACACCGTGGCGGTGTACCTAGCTAAATCATGGTCTGTGGCCTGCGTACACCGCAGCGATTTTAAGTAGCAAAAATATGGTCTTTGCGAGTCTTTAACTTTTTGGCCTAACCGGTATTTGTAGATTTAATGTTATACTCGTGTTAAAACTGAAAACTATTTATTTAAAATTCGTTTAGCGCCTTGGGAAGATATTGAGTAAGTTCCACGCTTTGGGGCAAAGTACTTGTAAAGCATTTCTTATTATTTTTTGGAAGGGAGGGGGCTGGGGGTGTACTGTTAAAAAGTTATTATGATTTATTTTTAAAGTTAACCACTTTATTCCCCCACCCAATATATTGAAATACAAATATATGTTTATTAATTGTTGTAGGTTTTATCATATGATCGTGAATCTTAATAGGCATAAAAAGGGTAGCTAATTTGAAATTATTCTCCCCCCCACCCAGTTGTTTTTTTGTTTTTTTTTTGGGGGGGGGAGGGGGGGGAATTATAAATATAACATTGTATGTGATGAAATGAATGGGAAGCCAGTGAATCTATTTTGTTAGCACCAAGATATAATTACGCCACAAATACATTACGGGAAGAGAATCACATACATTGATCATGAAGTCGTGAAGTTAAAGTTGTCCAAGGCATTGTCATTGTGATACCAAGCGTGTGTCAACACAAAACAATAGTATGATGATGAATACGAAACACTGCAGTGATTTTTAAAAGTCTTTTAACAATAAAAATATCATTGATTTTGTTTTACATTTGCATTACACATTAGTAAAAAATGCCGGCGGAAGGGGGGGTGCAAAAGTTAAGTTTGTTGTGCGGACGTCCTTTGTGGACAACCCCTATCCAGAGCCGTGTTTTGCGAAGGCCCCCTTTTTGGTTAAGCCTCTGCCCATAACTCACCTCCAAC